TTTTATGAGGGGACAAAATAATTATTTTTTCCCGAGGAAGACGCGGCGCGATTTTGGGGTGGTTTTAAAGAATTTGGGGTTTTTTTTTTGCAGCTTTTCGAAGCYTCGTCCTGCACCTACACGTACGTTGTGGCGGACGCGGCCTCGGGGGACGCGGTGATCATCGACCCCGTGCTGGAAACGGTGCCCCGGGACCTGCGGCTGATCCAAGAGCTCGGCCTAAACCTCCGCTACGCCGGTGAGCCGATTTAGGCCGCGCCTACAGGTCTAAACCACGCCTACTTCCGGGTAAAACCACGCCCATAGCCTCTAAACCACGCCCATAGCATCTAAACCACGCCCATAGCCCATAAATCGCACATGTAACCTCTAAACACGCTGCTGAGCCGATTTAAGCCACGCCTACAGGCCTAAACCACACCTACTTCCGGGTAAAACCACGCCTGTAGCCTCTAAACCACGCCCATAGCCCATAAACCACGCCCACAGCCCCTAAATCGCACATATAACCCCTAAACACGCTGCTGAGCCGATTTAAGCCACGCCTACAGGCTTAAACCATGCCTACTTCCGGGTAAAACCACGCCTAAACGTGTTAAACCACGCCCATAGCATCTAAACCATGCCCAGAGCCCCTTTAAGCCACGCCCACAGCCCATAAACCACTCCCACAGCCCCTAAATCGCACATATAACCCCTAAACACGCCGCTGAGCCGATTTAAGCCACGCCTACATACTTAAACCACGCCTACTTCCGGGTAAAACCACGCCCATAGCCCATAAACCACGCCCACAACCCTAAATCGCACATATAACCCCTAAACACGCTGGTGAGCCGATTTAAGCCACGCCTACAGGCTTAAACCACGCCTACTTCCGGGTAAAACCACGCCTGTAGCATCTAAACCACGCCCATAGCCCGTAAACCACGCCCACAGCCCCTAAATCGCACATATAACCTCTAAACACGCCGGTGAGCCGATTTAAGCCACGCCTACAGGCCTAAACCACGCCTACTTCCGGGTAAAACCACGCCCACAACATCTAAACCACGCCCATAGCCCATAAACCACGCCCACAGCCCCTAAATCGCACATATAACCCCTAAACACGCCGGTGAGCCGATTTAAGCCACGCCTACACGCGTAAACCCCGCCTACTTCCGGGTAAAACCACGCCCACGACATCTAAACCACGCCCATAGCCCATAAACCACGCCCACAGTCCCTAAATCGCACATATAACCCCTAAACCACGCTGGTGGGATGCTTTAAGCCACGCCTACTGTCCCAAACCACGCCTACTTCCGGGTAAAACCACGCCTACACGTGTTAAACCACGCCCACAACATCTAAACCACGCCCATAGCATCTAAACCATGCCCAGAGCCCCTTTAAGCCACGCCCACAGTCTAAACCAGGCCCACTTCCAGGAAAAGCCACGCCTACAGTCCTTAAACCACGCCCACAACTCCTAAACCACGCCCAGAGCCTTTTTAAGCCACGCCCACAGCCCATAAACCACCCTGGGATCCAACTGGGACCAAACTGGGAATGAACTGGGGGCGGGGTTATCCTCAATGACGTCACACAATGATGATGATGACGTCACTGATGACGTCATCACCCTCAGCCAATACGCACTGCCACGCGGATCACGTGACCGGGCTGGGATCAAACTGGGATTGAACTGGGACCGAACTGGGGGCGGGGTTATCCTCAATGACGTCATACAATGATGATGATGACGTCACTGATGACGTCACCGCCCCTCCCAGCCAATACGCACTGCCACGCTGATCACGTGACCGGGCTGGGATCAAACTGGGATTGAACTGGGATCAAACTGGGATTGAACTGGGGGCGGGGTTATCCTCAATGACGTCACACAATGATGATGATGATGTCACTGATGACGTCATCACCCCCAGCCAATACGCACTGCCACGCGGATCACGTGACCGGGCTGGGATCAAACTGGGATTGAACTGGGAATGAACTGGGAATGAACTGGGGGCGGGGTTATCCCTGATGACGTCACACCCTGATAATGACATCACCGTGATGACGTCATCGCCCCTCCCAGCCAATATGCACTGCCACGCAGATCACGTGACCAAACTGGGATCAAACTGGGATTGAACTGGGAATGAACTGGGGGTGGGGTTATCCTCAATGACATCATACAATGATGATGATGTCACTGATGACGTCATCACCATCGTAGCCAATACACACTGCCACGCGGATCACGTGACCGGGCTGGGATCAAACTGGGAATGAACTGGGGGCGGGGTTATCCTCAATGACATCATACAATGACGATGATGTCACTGATGATGTCATCACCATCGTAGCCAATACGCACTGCCACGCGGATCACGTGACCGGCTCGGGGTCCCTTCGCCGCGCCCTCGGCTGCGTCAGCGCCATCTCCAGAGCCAGCGGGGCCTGCGCTGATTGGCTGCTGGGGGAGGGGGACGAGATCAAATTCGGGAATTTTGTGAGTGACACGAATGGGGGCGGGGCCTAAAAA